CCCCCTTCAAGATAAGAAAATACCGTCAGACTTTTCGACAACTCGTAAATCTTGGCTGGGGATTCGTTCGTAAATGTAAATCAAAGTGATACGATTCGTGAGGGAAGGGAGAAAAGGGGGTGTTCTTTCCGTGCCGTTCGAATATTCGTGTAGCTTTCTCAAGATATATAAGAAGAAATGTCTAACGTTTGTTATTATTTCTCTTGTAATCGAGGAATTAGATAATAGAACGTATTACGTAGATTGACTAGAAAAACGAGCTGCCACGTAGTAACTCGGAAAGAGGTAACGTAGATTTACTACAATGTTGTCGCGGGAGAATATTCTCCCGCGACAATATTAATATCCTTGTGTGCCAACAGCATGTATACTTACTGCCTGTTTTTATACGTGTATTATTAAATATTGTGTCATCGATGTTACTCGACGATATTTACAAACGCGAAACTCGAACAAATTATCGCGTGACACTCGATGCCGAAAATATTCTACGAACCAAAAATACAAGATTTATCGAGATTCTACTATTGCACACTTGCAGCTCTTGCCTATTTTTGCATACTTTTTACACTAACACTTTCTTCTACGCTGTTGCAAAGAATATTATATCGAGATCTTATTGCACAGTTTCCACTCTTATGAATCGGCACATTAGCAGTTTCTTGTATTGTTGCAAAGAATATTATCGAGATTTTATTGCATACTTTCCATATTTATATATTTTTTACAGTAGCATTTTCGATACTGTTGCAAAGAATATTATTCTTATTGCACACTTATGAATCATCGATTAACATATTTTTGTACACTATCTATATTGTTGCAAAGAATATTATTGAAATCTTATTGCACATTTTTATATTTGCGTATTTTTGCACATTTTTTACACTTTTCGACACTGTTGTAGTATTGCATACTTTCCATATTTATGGATCACGATTAACATATTTTTATACATTTTCTATATTGTCGCAAAGAATATTATTGAGATCTTATTACACTTTCCATATTCGTCTTTTTGCATACTTTTTACACTAACACTTTCTGTTGCAAAAAATATTATCGATATCTTTATTGCACACTTTCTATACTTGCGAATCACGATTATTTTTGCACACTATATATTGCTGCAAAGAATATTATCGAGATCTTATTGCACACTTTCCACACTTATGAATCAATTAATTATTTTTGCACATTTTTTATATTAGCAGTTTCTGTATTGTAGCAAAGAATATTATCGAGATTACACTTTTCACTCGCCTATTTTTGCATACTTTTTACACTAACACTTTCTGTTGCAAAGAATATTATCGATATTTTATTGCACAGTTTCCACTCTTATGAATCGGCACATTAGCAGTTTCTGTATTGTTGCAAAGAATATTATCGAGATTTTATTACATACTTTTCATATTTATGAATCACGATTAACATATTTTTGTACACTTTCTATATTGTCGCAAAGAATATTATTGAGATCTTATTACACTTTCCACACTTATGAATCACGATTAATTATTTTTGCACACTTTTATCGAGATTTTATTATATACTTTCCATATTTATGAATCACGATTAACATATTTTTGTACACTTTCTATATTGTCGCAAAGAATATTATTGAGATCTTATTACACTTTCCACACTTATGAATCACGATTAATTATTTTTGCACACTTTTATCGAGATTTTATTATATACTTTCCATATTTATGAATCACGATTAACATATTTTTGTACACTTTCTATATTGTCGCAAAGAATATTATTGAGATCTTATTACACTTTCCACTCATCTATTTTTACATACTTTTTACACTAACACTTTCTGTTGCAAAGAATATTATCGATATCTTTTTTATTGCACACTTTCTATACTTGCGAATCACGATTAACATATTTTCGCACACTTTTTACACGAGCATTTCGTACACTATTGCAAAGAATACACGCTTCTTTTCGAGCGCTTGGCACAATTTCGAAAAGCGGAATTCGAAACGTTTTGCCGTTAAAAAACTCATCGATTCTTGATCTTTATCCATAGATCCACCAACGTTTCGTATTCCGCTGATATTGATAGGAAAGATTTTTCTAACGATCGTTTTTTATTTTTTTCCTTTACAGAGAAAACGTCTCGAGGATGTACGTAAGAGAAGGGGGCGAACTATCGATGAAACTTGAAGTAGGGCAGAAAAGGACAGCCCTGATCGCTGGAACTTTTTCAATAACTTGTCGAGTCTCGCTAATCTCGAATGACTTTTGCGACAGTTTTCGTATCAAGGGCTCGTTTCGAGTCGCGTTTCGAAAGTTTTTCCGAGATTATTTCTTTTTCCTTCCACCCTTCGAATCGGTGACGACAATCGAAATTTTTAATTATCTTGCCTACTTTTTCTTTTTTCTTTTCTTTTTTTTTCATTCTTTTTATCCGTTTCTCTATTCTCTTTTTCCCCCCTCTTTTTTTATTTTAATCGCAAAAAGCGATAAGGATATTAAATACGCTTCACTTGCTAGGAAATGAGATTGTCGAGTTTGCTTACGGATATCTATTATCAGATAAGATATTTTAAGGGAGTTTCGCTTACGGAAAATGTAGGAAAAGAAGAGGAAACAGGCGGAGACGGACAGAAAGAGGGCGGAGGTCCGCGCCCGTCTCGAAGAGGCTTCCAAAGCCAAGAAGGCGAAGAAGGGTTTCATGACCCCTGACAGGAAGAAGAAGCTTAGGGTAAGTTTGCATTCCGTCCATCCCCCTAATTTTCTTAATATTATTACGATTCGTGTCCAAACGAGCTATTTCCATATCTTTTTTCTTTTTTTTCTTTTTACAAGAATATCTATTCTACGAAATTTCTTTCCCTCGAAATTATTGTTCCATTCAATTGAGATTTGACGTTCTAACGTATATTCGCGTGTATCCTCAGTTGTTGCTGCGTAAGAAAGCCGCCGAGGAATTGAAGAAGGAACAAGAGAGAAAGGCGGCCGAGAGGAGGCGCATCATCGAGGAGCGTTGCGGAAAGCCGAAGAACGTCGACGACGCTAGCGAAGGTACATTAAAGCCTTTCCCTTGAAAAAAATTTCTCCTCGATAACACGTCGATAACCGCGGTTTTTTTCTCGGTTCATCGGTGCCGTGATCAGACAGTGTTAACAATTGAACGGGTCAGGGTCGAACAACACCCTAGCCCAAGGTCTAAGGAAATATACCTTTTTTTTTTTTTTTTTTCTTTTTTTCTCTTTTCCGACAGACATACCGATAGAAGCGAGAGAAGCAATCCGATATATACAGCGAACAGTTGTCGTAAATTTTTTTTTTTTTCGCTTCCACACTTTTTCCCATATTGTTCCACGTTCTCTCGAGACGACCGTCTCTTTCGTTTTTTTCCCCCCGAGCAGAGGAAACAACAAATTTTTCTTTTTTCGAAACTCGTCGATTCCCATGCGAAGATAGAACATCCCCTCCGAGGATCCCCTTCCCTCCTCGCGATCGCCGATCGCGATCATCGCTGCGATCGTGGATTTGCAATAACAAATAAACTTCGAAACTGCAACTCGTTTCGATCTAATTCGTTTTCGATCGCGATTTTTCGATCATTTTTTCGAAAAAAAAAAAAAAAAAAAAAAAGAAGAGAAAAACATGATGAATTCTGTCCGATCTTTTTTCACCTTCGTCCCACACAGAATCCCTGAAGCGCGTGCTGCGCGAGTACCACAATAGGATCACAGCATTGGAGGATCAAAAATTCGACCTCGAATATGTTGTTAAGAAGAAGGATTACGAGGTACTTACCCGTGAGGGTGGAAAGGACAATGTTGCGAGAAATTACATTACGATACGTGCAAATAACTATGTGGCATTCACGCACACGCATATGTATATATATATTTCGAATATATATATATATATCGTAACGATGCTCAATGTTGTTGCACTTGAGTAATGCGACGCGCTTGCCCGGTTGCATTCAATCGCGATGACGAATCTTGTCTTGGGCACTTGGGTTTGGCTCGAAAAGGGCAACCGATCTTACGCAATCGCGATTATTTATAAATAGTCTATTTTTATTCTTTAACCACCATTTATTTATTTATTTCTCCCCTGTTTTATTTATATTTTATTTCTTTCCCCCACCCCCTTTTTTTTTCTAGAAAGACTTGTCGTCTTTGCTCCTAGTTTGATTAAAGTAAATTCGATCGAATCGCCGCAATCCGGGCAAGTGTCGCGAGCTTCGCATTTCGTCTATCTTCTATGTTTCTACTTAAATATAATATTTTCTATAATGTTTTATCTACTTTCAACTATGGTTTCCTCTCACTTTCATAACACGGCTATTCTGTCTATCTATTCTGTCCATCTATATTTCTTTATTTATTCTCTGTATTTATTCTTTCTCTTCGCACAATTTCTTTTCTGTTTCGCATTTTTATATCTGTGCGCGCGTTCTATTTCACATATTTTGTATCTTTGCTCTTCGTCTTTAATGCTATTTCTTTCTTTCTTTTCTTTCTTTTACATGGTAAAGCTAAGAGCATCATCGTGGATCATTCACGTTTATTAACTTTGATTGTGTTCTCACAAGTTGTCGCAAAAAAAAAAAAAAAAAAAAAAAAAACGCTATATACGTGGATGATGGAAAATAATACCACTCATAAAGGTAATAATAAGGGTAACTCTCGAGTCTTCGAAATTTTTCACACGCCCAGTGTATGTTTTAATACACTCGGCATACTATCCTCCCCCTTTTTTTTTTTTTTTTCTTTACTTCTTTGCTTTCTATGTATATCGCCATATCGCCTCCTGTTTCTCAATTTTGTCAAATTGTGAATCGCGATTTCTAATATCGTCGCGATTACAATTCAGGATTCACGCTCGAATAGGATCGAATCTGTTCAAAAATAGAACTGATGACACTTCACACTTTTCTAATTGACAAATTTCGTTCGACAAGCTTCGATACCACTTGCTCCCCTCTTCTCCCTCTTCCTCTTTGCTTTAAACACACATTATTCTATTCTCTCCCCTCCTCCTCCCCGGTTGATGACAAACCGAGAAAAGTGACAACACGAGATTGTGTATGATTTTATTTTACACGTTCTTTCTTACACACTTTCGTCTGTTTCAAGTCGATTAAAAATTTATATCGAGGGGGAAAAAAAAATATGTGTAGAGCAACAAAAGATACACACACACACACACACTCACACACATACACACACAAAAACAAACCGGTTAAAATCGTCCGTATCCTGCTTTGAAAAAGGAGTATGTTTCAAGGTGACTTGGAATTTTGACAGCTAACGTGAAGTCCATTCTGATCCAGTATCATAAGAGGATCATCGCTCTCGAGGGGGAAAAGTACGACCTTGAGTACGAAGTCGCCAAGAAGGATTTCGAGGTCGAAAAGTTTTCGATGCACAAAAAACAAACAAAAAAAAAAAAAAAAACAGACGATGCTGCAATTAACAAAACAGAGAGACAACTTTTTTTTGTTCTCTCTCTCTCTCTCTTTTTCTCTCTCTCTCTTTCTCTCTCTCTATTCCGTTCTTTTCACTTCTTTTCTTATCGTGTTTTTTTTTTCTCTTATTTTTCCATCTTATTTTTGT